ACTATTTTCGATGGGACTATACGACCAATAGGCGTGGATTTTTAAAGACTATTTTCGATGGGACTATACGACCAATAGGCGTGGATTTTTAAAGACTATTTTCGATGGGACTATACGACCAATAGGCGTGGATTTTTAAAGACTATTTTCGATGGGACTATACGACCAATAGGCGTGGATTTTTAAAGACTATTTTCGATGGGACTATACGACCAATAGGCGTGGATTTTTAAAGACTATTTTCGATGGGACTATACGACCAAATAGGCGTGGATTTTTAAAGACTATTTTCGATGGGACTATACGACCAATAGGCGTGGATTTTTAAAGACTATTTTCGATGGGACTATACGACCAATAGGCGTGGATTTTTAAAGACTATTTTCGATGGGACTATACGACCAATAGGCGTTTTTAAAGGATTTTTTTTTAAAGAGCTATTTTCGATGGGACTATACGACCAATAGGCGTGGATTTTTAAAGACTATTTTCGATGGGACTATACGACCAATAGGCGTGGATTTTTAAAGACTATTTTCGATGGGACTATACGACCAATAGGCGTGGATTTTTAAAGACTATTTTCGATGGGACTATACGACCAATAGGCGTGGATTTTTAAAGACTATTTTCGATGGGACTATACGACCAATAGGCGTGGATTTTTAAAGACTATTTTCGATGGGACTATACGACCAATAGGCGTGGATTTTTAAAGACTATTTTCGATGGGACTATACGACCAATAGGCGTGGATTTTTAAAGACTATTTTCGATGGGACTATACGACCAATAGGCGTGGATTTTTAAAGACTATTTTCGATGGGACTATACGACCAATAGGCGTGGATTTTTAAAGACTATTTTCGATGGGACTATACGACCAATAGGCGTGGATTTTTAAAGACTATTTTCGATGGGACTATACGACCAATAGGCGTGGCGTGGATTTTTAAAGACTATTTTCGATGGGACTATACGACCAATAGGCGTGGATTTTTAAAGACTATTTTCGGTGGGACTATACGACCAATAGGCGTGGATTTTTAAAGACTATTTTCGATGGGGCAATCCGGCCAATAGGCGTGGATTTTTAAGGGCTATTTTCGAAGGGACAATCCGGCCAATAGACGTGGGGTTTTAAGGGCTATTTTCAAAGGGACAATCCGGCCAATAGGCGTGGGTTTTTAAGGGCTATTTTCAAAGGGACAATCCGGCCAATAGGCGTGGATTTTTAAAGAATATTTTCGAAGGGACTTTTAAAGACTATTTTTGATGGTAGTATCCGACCAATAGGCGTGGCTTTTAAATGATATTTTCAAAGGGAATTTTAAGAGCTACTTTCGATGGAAATGTCCGGCCAATAGACGTGGATTTTAAAGACTATTTTCGATGGGGCTATAAGGCCAAAGAACTTATATAGACAAATTACCTAATGATACCTTTAGGAGGCTTCATAAGGCTCTTCAGAATATAGAAATTTTCGATTGCAGTTTTTAACGACCCCTTTTTGATATGTTATTTTTATTTTTTTACTTCCAGTTCCGTCAATATTTCACCGATGAAAGTGGTCTGAATCGGCGCAACATTCAGGATAATCGTGTCCATTGCTGTTTATATTTTGTACCACCATGGGGTCATAGGTAAGATTCCCCACAATCCCCAACTCAAAATTAAAATACTAATAACCTTCCTCTCCTCTTTCTCGCGCAGCTTACGCCAAATGGACCTGGATCTACTGCGTCGCTTACACCGTAAAGTCAACATTGTCTTGGTTATAGGCAAAGCCGATTGTCTAACCAAGACCGAGGTGCGTAACCTCAAAGAACGCATTTTGCGCGATCTGGAAGACAACCACATACAGTTGTATCAATTCCCCGAATGTGATTCCGATGAGGATGAAGATTTCAAGCAACAAGATCGCGAACTTAAAGCCTCCATTCCATTCGCTGTGGTCGGCAGTAATGTCATTTTGGATATTGCCGGTAAAAAGGTACGCGGTCGCCAATACCCCTGGGGTGTAGTGAATGTTGAGGATCCCGAACATAGTGATTTCATTAAATTACGTACCTTCCTCATTTCGACCCACATGCAAGACTTAAAGGACACCACCCAGGATGTCCACTATGAAAATTTCCGTGCTCAATGTATTTCACAAATATCACAGCATGCCCTGCGGGAACGTGGTAAATTGAAGCGTGATTCAATAAGTTCCACCAATGGGTTTGAAGCTGCCATCACAGAGACGGATCGTCTGCTGTTGCAAAAGGACGAGGAGATACGTCGCATGCAGGATATGCTCACGCAGATGCAGGAGAAACTGAAACAGACGCATCTCATGGAAATGAAAAAGAATGACAGTGTCATAGATGTTTAGAAATGTAGAATTGTTGTACAGCAGAAGCAGCAGAGACTGCAGCAGAATCGTAGTGGAGAGCTGGCGAAGCAGTTGCATGGCTATAATAGTTATCGGGTTACTTCGTTTCTTTGATAGGCAAGGAGTTGGAGGAGGAAGAGCAGAAGGATAATTCATAACACACTGAGTGTAAGAATGTCAAATTGAAATACTTAAATAAGTGAATTATAATTAACAAAAAAAATTACAAGAACTACAAGAAGAAAAAGCACCAAATAATAACAACTATTAGTAGTTTCATGACAAAAACAACGATAACAACAAAAAATGATTTCCTTTTATTTTTTATAACAAAAAAATCGAACAGAACAAAAAATAGCAATTTTAATTAAGATTAAAAAAAAACAGAGTTCACGTAAAAGGATATGGAATCAAGAAATATATTTCAGCCAAGGCCTAGTCTAGGCCAATTCTAAAAAGAAGATATTGTTGAACCCTCTAAACAGATCACAAAAATAGGTATATTTTCCCTGAGGTTTGTCAACCTCCTTTTTAGTTCTAGCAGGAAGATAAAAAATAATAACACCAAGATTTTCAAGGACTATTTCGAGGAGACTATCCGACCAATAGACGTGGATTTTCAATGATGGAACTATTCGACTAATTGGCGTGGATTTCTAAAGACTATATTCGATGGAACTATCCGACCAACAGACATGGATTTCTAAAAATTATTTTCGATGGGGCTATCTGACTAATGGGCGTGGATTTCTAAATACTATTTTCGATGGAACTATCCGACTAATAGGCGTAGATTTCTAAAGACTATTTTTGATGGAACTATCCGACTAATAGGCGTAGATTTTTAAAGACTACTTTTGATGGAACTATTCGACTAATAGGCATGGATTTTTTAATGACTATTTTCGATGGATCTATCCGACTAATAGGCGTGGATCTCTAAAGACTATTTTTGATGGAATTATTCGACTAATAGGCGTGGATTTTAAAGACTATATTCGATGGGATTATCCGGCCAATGAACATGAAAATCTATACACAAATTACTTAATGAGACTTCTTAAGGCCCTCCAGATGGGTAACAGATTTTCGTTTAATAATAACACCAAGAAAAAAATTGTATCCATTATCCAATTTACCAGCCAACGAAGTTGCGAACACTTAGAACATAAATTTCTCACTTTTCAATTGATTAATTTTCTAAATATAAAGGCAGTCAATATTTTTTAGAAGAGCTAAAGAGAGTCTTAATGAAAGAGCTGAAAGGTACCTGGAGGTCAAAAACGAAGTATATCAAGATGAAGTCATGTCAGGTCGCTATAAATGAGTTATAGACGATAGGCAGAGAATCTTGTATATCTTTTGAATGCAATTTGCCTTAATATAGACAATCTGAAGTCAGGAAGGAGTATCTTTAACCGAACCGGCAAGACTGTTAGCTACAGAATCTATACATCAAGGCTATATTTTTCGAACAGATGAACTGAAGTTGATGTTTTCGGAATCAAGTGCGGGGAGTATCAATAGACGTTCTGAGGCGGTCGTATTTATAGAAGAGTTGAAGGCAGAGAGATGACTCGGAGGATGTATAGACGGCTGAATTCTATAAAGGTAGGCTACATTTATTTACGAGCTATGGAGGAGCTGAGGGGTACCTGCAGGTTATAAACGAGCTCAAGCAAGAAATCTATATCAATATGAAGACATGTCAGGTCTCTATAAATGAGTTATAGGCGATAGACAGAGAATCTTGTATATTTTTTGAATGCAATTTGTCTTAATATAGACAATCTGAAATCAGGAAGGAATATCTATAACCGAACCGAAGTCAGGAAGTCTTAATATGGACTAGTTGAAATCAGAGATTACTGAAAATAATGAGAATGGCATTCAAAACACCTAAAAATCGATCTATGCTTCTAGATATGAGCTATGCCCTGGTAAATTGCTGTCAAGAGAAAAAAATTGTGAAACTACAGACTCTGCTGAAAAATTGAACAGAAAAGGTATCAAAAATGCCGAACAATGGAGTGTGCAGATGTGTGAGGACCATTCTTCCAGGGAGCTATTAGGTTGGGGAAAAAGAAATCCCTTATTTTTATATGATCCTTTCAATTATATTTAACATGCTTCGGATTATCGCCACATTGGCAATAATCCACTACATTCATGTGTGAAGTGAAAGATCTGATCTTGCAGTGACCTCTTATGATCCCCACAACGATTTTAATCTCCCTCTTGTTATGGGACAACAGCGAAGAAGTTCTACGGCGGGAGAATTTTGGCCAGATGGTTTTCGAAATCCTGCATCCCCAGGTTCGGATAATCATCTGTTGCCGACTACCTTGCACTAGCTCGAACGGGGTTTGCCAATAAAGTAGCCAATGGTAGATTGGATTGGAGTTTGAACCCCCTTCGAGCAAGCTTATCCCCAGTCCCATTCCCTTCTATGTTGCTGTGACCTGGAACCCAACATAATTTAATCATCCGTCGTATATCACGAAGAGCAACCTTGAAATCACGAACCGCTTTTGAGTTAATAGTGCACGACTTTAAAGCCTTAAGGAACGCCTACCTATAGTCATATATATAGTCATGGGTCCTATGTTATCTCGCCAGTAAATGTTTTGACCATTTCAGCCGCTTTCGTCATTGCCAGGATTTCTGTTTGAAAAACGTTGCATAGATCGTATAGTTCATATGAGTTATAGATTTACGGAACTATGTATTTAATAATATACTCCTCATTGTTGATAGTTTTTACAGAGCTTAATATTCAAGTAAAACTTAACGCATTGTTATATTAGAAATCATAGCATACTTTTAGGCGCCAACTTACTACGCTCTATCGAAGTTCATTGAAAAAAAAGCTTAAAAAATTCCACTTTTTAAAAATTAATCTGTCCCTACCAACCAAGCCTTTATTTTCTCCTATCTCCTCCTGTTCAATCAGCTGGAGTTGGACTTTATTGACCATTTAAAAATGGAGGCTTTAGTGTCAGGGTCCTGTATTTATAGATAGCATACAGCCTGTCTTTATAGATCAGCTGTTCATCTTATCATTTCCGATACAATTTTTCTTAGGCTTCTGCGGATTTTTATTCCAAGCTTGGGCAATATTTCGTGATAGTTGCATCCTCTTGCCCGATCAGCGGTCAATAGCACCTCTTCCTTACACTGACATATTTTCCGAATATTGCTAATATTACTACAGCCCTTCTAACTACTAGTCCATATTCCCTTCACCGTGGATTGTATTGTGATGTTCGGCTAGAAAAAAAAAAACAAACGAAAAAATAGTTTTCGTCCACTTTATTCCAAAATTATTATCTGATCATCATCGAAAATTATAGGCGTTGTCCTTGACCATTACTGGAACCTCATTAGCGCTATATTTCCGCCCTTATTCATCCCTTAGTCGAGGTATGACGATCGGTATAATTAAAGGTGGGTCTACGACCAATATTTCGCGGTGTTACAAACTCTTGGGCCTGCACAAGCTATAACACCATTTCATTTAACAAGTTCGATATATTTTTTGAGCTTTTAATTTGGGTATCGTATAAATTATTCCTTGATTCCATCTCTTAAAACAAGAACGAAAACAAAATTTTATTAAAATTCAAAACAAAGTATTTTTCAAAAAAATTAAGCAAAGAATTAAAAACTACAACAACAACTAAATATTAATTAAAAAATTAAAAAAAAAAACACATTACAATTTAAAGAACAAAAAATCCTTCCCCACCATCATTTTTATATTAGATATAGCAAAAACAAAAATTACCAAACCAAAAAAAAAACAAATTTCAACAAAACAAACATACCTTCAAAAACCATTTAACCAAGACTATAATATTAAAGGAAACCAAATTATAAAAACGATTAAAAAAATAAATTAAAAAAAAAATAAAAAAATCATTTTTAAACAAAAACACAAGTCAATCATCTTTAGAAAACAAAAGTACGAGGGCAGTTCGGAAAGTTCTTAGCCGAGCACAAAAGACGCGTTATAAACAGACAATAAGTTAAGTGTCTTGGAAACGAGGGCAGTTCGAAAAGTTCTTAGCCATCCTTCTTTGTTATGAACACACATTAAATTTTGGTTACGATCTGGCAACTCCTTCATATAGAAACAGATGTTCAAAAAAGACGCATCTGCAATTTCTTTAATTGTAAAAAAATTTTATTTGTAATTTTTTTAATGGAAAAAAATTTTTATTGTAAAAAATTGCGGCTGTGTCTTTTTTGAACACCTGTTTCCATATGAAGGAGTTGCCAGATCGAAACGAAATTGAACATGTGTCCATAACAGAGATGGAAGTTTCCACAATACTTAATTTGTTTCTGTTTATACCGTGCTTTTTGTGCTACGCTAAGAACTTTTCGAACTGCCCTCATAATCTAACACACACACAAAATGAACAAATTACAACAACATAAATACAAACAACATACAGGATAGTTATATTTAAAAAAGAAAAAATACAACAAACACGAAAGAAAATCTAGAACAAGAACAACAACATCTAGAATAAAAACCATCATGTCAAATAGAAGTGGATTAAAACGCTTGTCTTAAAGTGGAATACAAAAAAGTATTTAAAAAAACAAATATTTAAAATAGCAATAGTATTGAAAGAAACAAAACAACACTAGCCTCCAAAGGAAATAAACAAAAATAAAACACAACAATAGAACAAAAAAAAATTAATATAAAAAAATAAAACATTTAAAAAAAAATCATTAAAACCCTCAACATTACAAAAAAAAAGAGTTAAATAAAAATTACTACTAAAAAAAGAACAAAAAATACCAAAGTAAAGAAATATGTTTTAAACATTTAAACACACTTAGCAACATAAAGACACACACACACATATATACACAACAGCCACATACATTCATTAGCTATTAATACAAAACTATTACAACAACTCTACTATTCAACAATCAAATCGATTTCCTTTTGCGAATCCTTCCTAAAAAATATTTTTTTTTCAATTTGCAACTAACTTCC